CCCCCCCATTATTCGTGCACACATTGTGGAAAAGACGGCCATTCCGTGGATCGGTGCTATCAATTGCATGGGTATCCGCCCGGGAAGGGCCGTGGAGGTCGCGGCACTGCATCCGGCCGAGGGGGTCGCGGCGGTGGCAGAACGCCGTCCGGCGGCAGTAGTGCCCCTGGCCGTGGGTCTGGCCGAGGGATAGGATCAGCGACAGGGGGAGCAAATGCAGCCACCAATTCCAACGCCCTAGGCCTCACACCTGATCAGATGACTCGGTTACTTTCCATGCTCGACGTCTCTTCTTCCGACAAGGATACTGGGTCCAATGGTGAGGCATCGGCTCGTGAGTGGCTTATTGACAGTGGCGCCTCTCATCACATGACTGGTAATATCTCCTTTTTAACTGATGTGGTTCCCATGGCCCCCTGTGTCATCACGTTGCCCAATGGCACACAGACTACAGCCGATGTGGCCGTGTGCGGCTCTCACCCGAAGTAGTGCTTCGGGGCGTTTTACTTGTTCCTCATCTGCAGTGCAATCTTATTTCTGTTGGTTGTCTCATTCGAGATACCTCTTGTCTTGTTATTTTTAACAAAAACTGTTGTGTCACACAGGATTGTGTCACGAAGATGGAGATTGGACGGGGTGATGCACACAATGGAGTTTTCCTGTTTCGTCCATGCTCTACAGCATTTGCTACCCAAGTGGATCCTTCTCTCCTTCATAAACGCTTGGGGCATCCATCTGTTCAAGTTTTGTCGTCTCTTATTCCTTCTGCCAGTAGCTCTAAACTTAAATTATTACAATCATGTGAAATTCGTTTCCAATCCAAACAAGTTCGTAGTTCTTTTCCTATTAGTTCCAATAAAGCTACAAGTGTTTTTGATCTAATTCATTGTGATTTATGGGGTCCCTACACCCCTTGTTTAGCTACTAGTGCACACTATTTTCTCACTATTGTCGATGACCACTCTCGTGTAGTTTGGGCTTATTTGATCATTGATAAATCTGAAGTACCTAGTTGTTTGAAACAATTTTTTTCCATGATACAGACCCAATTTCATAAAACCATAAAAATTGTTTGTTCTGATAATGGCACCGAATTTGTCAATCAAGACCTTCGGTCATATTATGCCACTTTGGGTGTTCTTGTTCAAACTTCTTGTGTAGGTACTCCACAACAAAACGGTCGGGTAGAACGAAAACATAGACACATATTAAATGTCGCCCGCTCCCTTATGTTTCAAGCTCACTTACCTATTGAATTCTGGAGGGAATGTGTTCGTACTGCTGTTTATTTAATTAACCGTACTCCCAACAAACTACTTGGTGGTAAGTCTCCATTTGAAGTTCTAAATCACAAAGCACCAGATCTTAGTCATCTTCGAATTTTTGGATGTCTATGTTTTGTACGACTCAGGACTTCCAACAAATTTTTTCCTCGAAGCACCAAGTGCATGTTTGTTGGGTACCCCTCCGACACAAATTTGTTAGACATTTCATTTTTTGTAGATATCGTGGTATGCGAGGGTATGATGTATTTATTAATTTCTTCTATGAATCTTATTATTCTACACTTTATTTGACTAATTATATTTATAATTTTGATTGAAAATATATTTTTAGTTTTTAAGGAAAAGTTTTACTTTTTTGTTTTATTTTACCATCTTTGATAATTAAAATTTATTTGTATTTATTATAATTTTTTAATTATAAAATTACATGCATTATAAGTTTTTTTTAGAAATTTGGATATGATAACTTATTGTAGCCAGACTATTACTCATCTCTATTTTATTGCTCATTTGCTCTATTTTTTGTAATATTTCTAAAACATGTAATCCATTTTATGAAGGAATGAGCAAGTAATATAATTATTTCAAATGGTAAAATAAAAGTAAAATTTTAAAATTATAATATGCTTATTGAAAGGAAAACATACTTCCAAAATTATCTATGTAGGTTCTAATCGGTTTCGGATATAATCGGTTTCGGGTATTATCGATTTCGGATCTAATCGGTTTCGGGTTTAATCGGTTCGGATATTATCGGTTTCGGATTTAAATCGGATATGAATTATTTAGTTCGATTTCGATTCGATTCGGATCATTTCGGGTTTTCGGTTATAGATCGGATCTTCATTTTTCGGGTCATTTCGGTTTCGGTTTCGGATATTTCGGTTCGGGTAATCGGTTCCGGTTCTGTTTTGCCAGCTCTAGTTTCAGCTTACTATTCATCTTCTTCAACCTTCGGCCCATTTTTCGGAAATCCCGTTTTTAGTCTTCGAACTTCAACGAAACTATATAGAGATGTTATCTAAGGTTCATAGATCATTTTGGCATCATTAATTCATAGTTTTAACATCAATTTCATGGTTTATGATTCTTGGTTCTTCAAGCATGTCAAACACAAAACTCAACCAAACGACCGTTTATGAACGTAGAAACGATCTATACGAACATTCTAGTCATTAGATATATCAACGGGCTTACCTCGAAGCTTATCGAAGGGTTTGAGAATTTTCCGGCGAGACTTCCGGCGAGGTTTGTGGCTAGCTCCGGCGACTTCACCCCAAATTGACAGCACCACTTTGTTCTCTACACTCACAGCTTCATCTCAGAGTTTATTTGAAGGAATTTGATGAAGAATTGGATGAGATTGGGTTCCTTTTATAGGAGAAGAAGTGAAGAAGAAGACATGGGTGTGACTCACGATTAGGGATGGCAATTTTATCCGAATCCGAATTTTTCCGACCCGACCGAAGCATATAATATCCGAATCCGACCGAAAAATTTAATATCCGAAACCGAACCGAAGATTTTAAAACCGAACCCGACTCTTGTTGGATCGGTTTTCGGTAATTAAATTTGACCGACCCGACCCGTACCTGACCGACCCGATAATCAACCCGAAATGTTTTTACCTTTTTAAAAAATAAAAAATCCTTTTTCAATTAAAAGTCCAAAGCTACAATCTTACGGTGGATCTCTGGAACCCTATCTCTCGGACTCTTGGTATCGACGGAAATCTCTCGACTCTCACTCTCGTATCCACAGCACTCCTACCGGCGACCACAGCGGCACAGTCTTCCTCGGCGACCACAGCGCACAGCGGCGATTCTTCATCGGTGACCGCATAGAGCACAACCTATCTCCTCCTCCAACGGTATCATCATGGATTCAAATTTCAGTAGCCAATTACACACCTTTTTTATTTATATGGCCTTCTTCTCGATCTGCAGATTTCTCTTTTTCTGGGTCGGTCGGGTCGGTCAGTCGGGTTGGTCGATTTTCAGGTCAGGTTAGGCTTAGGTTTTTTTCAAATTGTCGGGTTTGGTTGCGGTTTCGGGTTTCGGTTTGGGCATTTGGGTTCGGGTTCGGGTAGGAATTTATATCCGATGGTTCGGGTTCAGGCAAAAAAATTATCCGATACAGATTTCGGGTCGGTTTCGGGTAAGGGTATATCCGAACCGAACCCGACCCGTTGCCATCCCTACTCAGGATTCCATTTCTTCGTTGGTGATCGATTTAGTGCGCAGGACGGCGGATTTGTAGGATGTCACACGCCGTTCACTAATTGGGACTATTTTTGGTCCCAGTCGGGGTACACTTTTTGGTCCAACTTTCTTTGAATTGAATTCCGTTTGCACCGTTGTGATTAGACAATTAAACTCTATCCAACGATATAATTTTTATATTTATTCGTTTTACTTTTTCTGACATCATATTTTTGGATGTTTGACTTTGAAAGAGTCAAAATTGGTCTAATTGACCTTTATTCAAAAAGGTTCTCACATTTAATTCATATTATTTATTTCCATGATTTATTTCAATAAATCATTTCAAAGTTCACATTACAAACAATTTCTTCATTTATTCTTAATTTGGGTCTGTACTCAGGTTCCCAATCAAGATCACACAATAAGTTAACAGGTTGGATTTATCTCTATGAGATTTAACCCAATTATGTTTATTGGACATCAATGTATATTTTATTTCGGCCCAAAGCCCAACAATAATTTATTTTAATCAAAACAAATTTTGTTTAATTGAATATTTAATTCAATAAAGAGTAAATTCCATAAAACGTCCCCAATTATAGGTCGTTTTACATATTTAGTCCCTACATATCAAATATTACTAATTTAGTCCCCAATTATTATATTCATTTCCACGAATGGTCCTTTGTTAATAATTCTGTTAAGAACGTGGACAAAATTGTATATTTATACTTCTCTCCTCAATTAAGCTTCCTCCATCTTCTCATACTCTTTCTAAAACTCGTCACTGAATTTAAGCTCTTAAATCCAAAATTTAAATGATCATTCATCCAGTTAGATAAACAATTGAGAGAAGGGTGATAATTTGGGTTTTTGGTTCAAAGCTAGAAACTCAGCGACGGGTTTGGGATAGGAGTGCAAGGGAAGAAGGAAGCTTAATTGAGGAGAGAAAGGAGTGCGAATTTATAATTTTATCCACATTTTTAACGAAAATGTTAACAAAGGACCATTCGTAGAAATGAATATAATAATTGGGGACTAAATTAGTAATATTTGATATGTAGGGACTAAATATGTAAAACGACCTATAACTGAGGATCTTTTATGGAATTTAATCTTCAATAAATTTTAGGATATATTTTGGGGCGTTACAGTAAGATTTGATGAGTAGATCATTAGTAAAAAGATATGATGTGATAGGTAGGGTATGAAAAAGTGAGGGGTAAAAGTGACTTTTTAATAGAAATAAGAAGTATTTTTTGGGACGGATAAGAAAGAAAAGAGAAAGGTTTTCAGGGACGGAGGGAGTATCAATTTATCATATCTAAGGATAAAAATAAAAAATCAACTACAAAATGTACCCTCTTTAAATTTGCAAAAATTAAAAATGGAAATTGTTTTTTGAAATTGAAGAAAGTAAATGAAAATAGGTAGGAAATAATAAGAGATGCTCTAATTTGGTCGGTGTCGCTTACGCACCTGCTTTCGTTCTATGTTCCTCCATTTTTTCATCTACAATTTGCGTAAATCAAGATTTTGCAACACCTTTCTTCGTATGCTTTTTATTGTTTCTAACTTTATTTCTAGATAGCAGTTTTTATACGTCGTTTTGACATCGTTGGGACGATGGCCCAAGCTAGCTAGTTTGAAGTTTAAACTCCGTAGTTAATTAGAATTTAGAACTCGTTAAAAACAACAGCGCCCTCAACTTTATTTCTAAATTTCTTACGAAGTACTACCTCCGTCCCAGAGTATTTGTCCACTTTCATTTTTGCACACCATCCAATACATTTCTTTAATCCATTTTATCTTGTAATTTGTATATTAAAAAATTATAGAAATTATTTATTAATAATCTATATGTTAAGACAAATCAAACAAGACCACACATGACTATATTTAGGCTTACACATTGAGAGAATTTGATGAGTCAAAGTGCTTTGATGAACGGTTCCAAAAGTCAAAAGTGGAGGAATATAACGGGATGGAGGGAGAATTTATTTTAATGGGATCAGATAAGTAATGTTATAATAATAATAATAATAATACTAATAATAATAATAATAATAATAATAATAATAATAATAATAATAATAATAAACACAAAGTATTGAAAAGATATTAAATAGTAAAATGTGAGTACTTAAAATTTATTTTTATAAAAAAGAAGTATTTTGGATGCAATATTAAAAAAAGGTGAACAAAAAAGTAAAACTAACGTGGTGTTACAGATAATCGTACGGATTACAATGGACAATGAAGATGAATGACCCTTGAAGATAAACGAATAAAAAACATTACGCACTGGGACTACAAGACATTATCCCGTACTAGACTAAAGAAGCGAACTAGAACTAAGACAGTAAGGCCGTATTTCATACGATCAACTAAACTGAAAATGAGGGTCACTTCGAACGAATGTTTTGACGAACTTTGACAAACGAGATGTACCAAAATATGCTCTGATTGAGAACTTTCTCGCACATTGAAAATGTTAGAGTACATCCCACATCGGAAATCCAAGAGTAAAAATAATTGGTATATAAGCTCTAGAGTTGAACTAACTAATAGATTGAATTCAATCTTTTAATGTGGTCCAGCCCAATTGTCTTATTGCCAATCTAGTGATCCATACCCCATCCTAAATTCTATTATGGTATCAAAGCCAGTTTTAGCCCACCTCGTTTGTAAAGGTGTCCATCTAGACAAGCATTCCTAGCGGCCCGTTAGTCTTTAGCCAGGTTGTCCGTATGGAGGTTGTACCCAACGGCATGTGGCCTGTTTAACACGAGAATATGAGTCAAGGGAATAGGAGTTCATTTGCAAGTGGTCAACCGGTTAGATTCAAAATGGCCCGGTTGTCCACTTGAGGGGAGTGTTAGAGTACACCCCACATCGGAAATCCAAGATTAAAATAATCGGTATATAAACTCTAGAGTTGAACTAACTAATAGATTGAATTCAATCTTTTAATGTGGTCCAGCCCAATTGTCTTATTGCCCAATCTAGAGATCCATACCTCCTCCTAAATTCTATCAGAAAAAGAAAAAAAATAACATATAACCCTAATGGTCTCTACTGTCATAACCACTTGATTTTATGATTAAACTCTACTCGGCCATGGCATTGTATTGGGCCTATCATGGAAATACGAACGAGCCAACGTTTTGACTCATCAGACTTTTAGCAAATAACTTCAGTCAAAAGGTGCTTTAGGCCCCGTTCCATTCAACTTATTTTTTCTTATTTTTTCTTATTCTTATTAAAATCAGATCAGATCAGACCAGATCAGATCAGATCATATCGAATCAGATCAGATCAGATCAGAACGAATCAGATCAGATCCAATCAGATCAGATCAGATCAGGACTTATTATTATTATTATGATCATTATGATCATCATCATCATCGTCATCGTCATTATTATTATTATTATTATTATTATTATTATTATTATTATTATTATTATTATTATTATTATTATTATTAAAAATGAAAAAGAATAAACTTTAGAAATAGGTTAAATAAAAAGCTGAGAAAGTAATCCTTAATTATTAGACGTCGGAAAAATTAGTTTTAAAATACATTGACAATATCAATCTAATTCTACTTTTAAAATTTATTTTTATTGCTACTTGTAATTTGAGTTTCTAAACTTTTGATCTTTTATAAGGATGAGATATTTTAATAAAAATACTATCTCTTCTATATATTGATTATCTAAATTTAATTACTTTTAAATGTATATCTAAATTAAATATTTATTCTAATGTATAATTCTAATTTTACAAAAAAATAATCATAAAATAAAAAATATTATTACATTATAATATGAATGATTATTCTAATATATGAATTAACTATTTTTATTTTATTAAAAAATAATCATTAAATAAAAAATATTGATTATATTATAATATGAATTATCATTACAATTTTCAAACGTTATTATAAAGTCAAATTAAATTATTGATTTGAAATTTTAAATTAAATCATAATTAATCAGATCAGACCAGATCAGATCAGAACTTATTAGAATCAGATCAGATCAGAAAAAATAAGTTGAACGGAACGGAGCCTTAGTGGTGAAGGTTTTTTTGTGTGGATTAATCTTGCTAATAATGAGGAAAAATATAGAACTCCAATATGTTTACTACCCACACTGTCCTTGAATACTTGTCCATTTTTTATTTTTTCGGTCAAAATTGATAAACTTTAACCTCAAATTAAATAAAAATTATACTAGATATTTATAAAAAAGTAATTTTATTAGATATATTATATCAAATATTTTCAAAATATTATATTATCTAATTAATATACAATATACGGAGTATACTTTATATAATTATAAAAAAATCAAAACTGGACAAAAAAATATTTTTATCACCTCTAATAGTCACCATGTCCTGATATTTAATTTAACAAATCGTTACTACATTACGGTAACTAAAAAGTCAAAAGCGGTAGAGCTCGGGCTAAATTCAAAAGCGTTTGGACATCATACCGGAACTTGTTGTTAGACCGGAACCGCATGTTTGTCTGTTGCTTTACCACGTTCCCATTCAATCCCGCTCACCGAACCCTTGTATGATTAATTAAAAATATTAACTTATTGAGTGATTTTCTTTTCTTGACTGATTTGAATTTTGAATGGGTCCGCGCGCACATATATAGACGCCCCCTTTGGCCGGACTAGCCCACTGAATTGTTTGCTCCGCAGAGATGGCTGGCTCCAATGAATGATCGTCGTAACGCCACAGTCGGCATTCTTATTGTTGCAGTAGTTCTTGGAATTATTATTTATGCCATCGTTCAAAGTAGTGTCGACCACGAGAAGGAAGAAAAGAGGAAGTCGAGGCCGCAGTACTCCGTCACGAGCGCCGCGTCGTCGCCGGAAGCCACCGTCGCCGGAAACCTCTTGACAGCGGACTTCAGATTCACCCTCAAGGCCCACAACCCGAACAGGAAAAAGACCATCTTCTACGGCAACACAACCCAGGTGACCCTTTACTGTCGGAGGTTCAGCGAGATCACGTCGTCTCCGCTCCCTTTGGTCGGCCCTTCCACGCTCCCTCCCGGGAGTGACTCCACCGGCATCGCCTTCAATCTCCCCGTGCAAAACTGGCCCCTCCCAGCGGACACAGCATTCTGCCACATGATCTTAACCATGATGTTTCGGGCCGGGTTTAATCAGGAGGAGGAGGAATCTAAGCGTCCCCGGATAGAGGTCCGATGCTCCCCTCTCACCTTCAATTTTCAAACCAAGAACTTCACGGGGGACTACGGCACATGTTCTAGCTTTCCACTCCGTTAAAACAATTCCTCTTTTTTCCACTAATAATCTATTCATTACATCTTATTTTTATCTATCATATCAATCACAGAATTGAAAAGTCAACTACATATATAATGAATGCATCATGTTTGATTCGGATTTGAATCGGGCTAGATCTGTTTTGAATCGGTTCCATCATATATCCTTTAGAGGAATTTCCGTAAATAGCACTAAAACATGATGACTTTCCACAAATAGCACTACATGTGTTTTTCTTCCCAATGTAGCACTTTTAGTCATTATCCATTAGTCATTATTCAAGTAAATGTTTACCATCAGAGGTCATTATGGACATTATGAAGTGCTATTTAGGGAATAAAACAATTTAAATGCTACTTAGAGAAATGACTTAGGTTTTAGTGTTATTTAGTGCAAATATTTCTATCCTTTATTATAATAAAGGAGACTCGGATGCACGAGAATGCGACATTTGGCTCGCCTATTTGGCAAAAAATGGAACACATCATCAAGCCATGTAATAATAGAAAAAATCCTTTAATATAATAAAGGAGACTCGGATGCACAGAAATTCGACATTTTGGCATGTCTATGTGGCAAAATTTAAACATGTCAACACGCCACGTAATATCCAAGTAAACCAGCGGAAATAAATTATATACGATGCACCAACGGATCTCCTGCTGGAAATAATTCACCGCAGATTTTCTACGCAATAATCAATGGCCTTCAACGAAATTCTTTCCTTCAGATTACAACAATACGAACTCCTATTATGATGATAATATAAAATAATTAAAAATAAATATGAAAAAATATGAATACTATTTAAAAAACAAATATAATATTTTTCATTTAATTTAAATGGAATTTTAGGACCATGCTACATATATTAATCCTTTATCTTACTTCCATATTTAAAAATTACATACTTAAATAATAAGTTACAAAGGTTTATTGTGGAAATTTATGTATAATAAGAGTTAAAATCAATAGAGTACCTATATTACTAGAAATTAGAATATTATTTTTTACAAAAAAAAAAATTTATTAAGAAACAATCCTAAATAATACTAAATTTGAAAATGATGATCACGAGTATATTACTCATCACCTTACTTATATTATTTATGTTGGATAATACTAATATTATTTTGGATCCATTTACTTATATATGGAAATCCGTAATTATGTGCCTTGGATAATCAACAATATTATATGTTAATATATGTTTTCAGGGTACAATTATACGAACTCCTATTACGAGTATATTATTCATCACCTTATTTATATTATGTTTGTTGGATAATACTTATATTATTTTGGATCTCTTTACTTATATATGGAAATCGTTAATTATGTGATACGGGTATACTAGTAGAAAATGAAGAAGCGCCAGCGCCCACCACAGAGACTATCTCGTCACCTCGGCCGCGTCGGACTGTGAGGCCGCCCAAACGTTATGATGATTATGTTTAATCTTATTATTTATTATTCATTATTTTATTGTACGTAGATTTTCCTAGGTGAGCAAAATATAAGCTCCTTCGAGGGTTTCTTTACGGTTCTTTACCTCGTCGCTTTTCTTGAACCGTCAGGATAGATAACGTAGTTGAATTAGGTGGGGAACTTCTATCGTCTATAAATAGAGACTCCAAAGGCATTAGCAATCAAGAAGAATTATATTTCCCCTAAACTCTCTCTCTCTCTCTAACTCTCTCTCTTCTCACCCTCTCCCGCACGTACTCTTCTTCCCTAGCCGCTGCCTTCCTTCGGCAGTTTCCACCTTGGTGACGCCTAGGGCTCCAGGAGGTGGTATCATTATGTATCTTGAATAATCAGTAATTTTATTCTGGATTCGCTTATTTTTAGTAAGAAATTCGTTATATCTAGAATGGACCCAATATTATTTTGAATTCCTTACTTATATATCTAACTGGCAATGAGTTAAATTACTCACTTTTATATCCATATTTATGGAAACTCTTATATACTTGGGTCAAAATCCTATTATAAAAAGAGATATATAATGAGTTGAAATGTGACATCCATCACCCATTTTCATTTTCCATTTCAATACATAGACATTCAGAATTAATTATGCAATAGATAAGTGGAGAATCGTTAATTCAACTTCAGCCTTTTGTTTTTAAAAGGATTGGTGGAGAATAAATCTCCAATGCATTGACTCAAATCTGGAAACTGAGCACTTGTGGAGAAAAAAAAACTGCTGCGCAATTTGAATGAGTTGCTACAGTGAGGCTACTGCGGCAATTGGATGGACGGCGTGGAAACCCTTGTCGGAGACGATAGGAAAACTGGGCGAATCTGGACGGCGACTCCGGTGGGCGAACAGGGATTGCCAGCGACTATGACGGAGACGCGCGTTCAGAACCGGAATGGGCGACGATGGCCGACTTCGGCCAGTGACTTGGACGGAGACCTTCAACCGGAGCAGAGATGTCCGATCCCGTGACGGAGACGGCGGAGGAGACTTGGACAATCGGCGAGGGACTGACGACGAGGACAATCGGCGAAAGAGAGACGAGACTTGCAGCGGTAGACTAGGGTTTTGGCTTGATACCATGATACCATGTAGAATTTAGTGAACTGAATGACTTGATTGTTTCATTGATACCGAGGGATATGTATACAAGTTACATTTACAAGCCCAATAAGATAGGCCCACCATGGTACAGGATATACATAAACTAATATCTATACATAATATACGCTAACATCATCCTATTTTTCAATTTCAATTGGGGCTATGGAAAATCAAGTTGACGATACATACACGAGATCAGCTAGAAATGCAAGAGAAATGAGAAAATGAATACTTCAACAAAAAAAGATAGAAAAGGTACGCACTTTAAATATTGTTTTATCTTAATACATTTAATTATGTTTTATTGTTTTAAGGTAATTTGATGCATAACATTTTTGAATTATTTAAAATAACAAAATGAAATGGGATATGTTAGTAACCAGAATTTTTGTATTTAAAATTTATATGGTTGCTTTTTAATGAGCATTGAAAAAATTTCTTATCTTCATATATAAATCGTTAGTATAGATAAATTAGTTTATGTTAAATAAAAAAAGTTTTATACAAAATTTAATATTAGATGTCAATTTTAGAAGGATTTAACAAATTCTCCATGTGAAAATGAACACTCCAAGAAAATATAAAAATATAAGTTTAGTCATGTTATTTTATAGTCATGTTATTTTATCAATTATAATCTGCATCCGTAAAAAAATTAAACGTCGTTCATATGTTGCATATAAATAATGGATAATTAAAATGTATAATTGTTGATTTATCTAGGTATGCATATAGCTTACTGATTATTTTTTATCAATTTTATATTTACATCAATAGGAATAAAATGATGTCTAACCATGACTCTTTAATTTCATTTTTCTATGTGTTTTATGAAAAAAATAGTTTATACATATTGAATATTTTAGACAATTGAATGGACGAATATTAACAAAGTTGAGTAAAAATATATTCGTATTTAAAATCTTTTAAATAATTCAAAACTTTACAATGAATTTGATATGAAATGGGTAAATATAAAAAAAATGTGAGTACATATTTTAAAACAAAATGATATGCATGCGATGAAAAAAATTAGGCATTGATACGAAATGATCAATGTAAATAATTCAAAGTTCAAATATAATTTTTAAATTGGAAATTTTACTTAATATCTAACACGTAATTCATTTATCAAAATTGCAACTAAGGTGTGTTCAACTGAAATAATTGATACTCCATATATATATTCATAGTCAGAGGAATTTACCTAAATAACACTAAAACATAATGACTTTCCCTAAATAGCAACATATGTTTTTTATTTCTCAATGTAGCACTTTTAGTCATTATCCATTAGTCATTAATTATTTAGACAAATGTTCACCGTCACAGGATATTATTTCTCCTTCTAGACATTATTAAGTGTTATTTAAGGGATAAAAAGTTTAAGTCTTAGTTTGGTAAATGACTTTTGTTTTAGTGTTATTTAGTGCAGATATGAAAAATAAAAAATTTGAAAAATTATATTGGGAAAAAGTTTGAAAAATGAAATATGAAATTTTGAAAAATGGAAAATGGAAAATTTGAAAAATGAAAAATGAAATATTTGAAAAATTTTAAGTCTTATATTGGGAAATGATTTATGTTTGAAAATATGAAAAATTATTCTTTTATAAGGATAAAGCACTATTGGCACCAACTCTCGAAGTAGTTGAAATGATAAATGAATTTGTTCTGTCCCTCATTCCTGGTGATGAAAAGGAGTACTTGAGTTCTGATTCTTCGTGCCAAGCAGAAGTAGGTGTTGATGGCAATTGGATAACAGTTGAGTTTTTGAACGAAATTAAATGTTTGGGAATCCCAAACCACAAAATAGTCTTGAAAAAAGGGGTACCGATTATGCCATTGAGGAACATTGACCAAATGTTTGGATTGTGTAATGGGACAAGATTAATCGTTCAAGAGCTGCGAAATAATGTTATCGGTGCAATTGTGGTTTTGGGAAATCGAGTCGGGAAAAAAGTTTACATCCCTAGAATGAATTTGGTACCATCTGATCTAGGGCTAGGGCTGTTCATTGGTCCAAGACCGGACCGGACCGAAGACCGAAATGAGTAAATTCTTGGACCGAAGACCGGACCTAAATCCATTCGGGTTTGGACCGGACCGGACCGAAATATTTAGGACCGAATCGGTCCGAACCGATTGGACCGAAAAATTTATATTTTTTTAAATTATTTTGATCAATTAAATATATTTTAGACTTTTTACTTTGTACCGTTCAAATAGAAAATGAATAAAAAAATAGGCAGTTTTAAAATGGATAAACAATATGAACTACTTCAATGTAGAACCATAAAAACAAATATGAAATGTTTTTTTAAAAGATTTTTTTAAAATTACCTAAAAAAACACTTTAAATTAAATAAATTAAAATATTTATTAAAATAGAGCATCAAAGTGTAATACGAAATTTAAAAAGTAAAGTTTTAGTATTTAGGTCTTTTAGGTCCAGTAGGTCATTAGGTCCAACCGGTCCAATCGGTCCGGACCTAAATCATTTCGGGTTTGGACCGGACCGAACCGAAACCCGAATGCCAAAATTTTCTGGACCGAAGACCAACCCGAAATCCATTCGGTCCGGGTTCGGTCTGGACCTATCGGTCCGGTTCGGTCGGTTTTTTCGGTCCGGACCTAAATGTGAACAGCCCTATCTAGGGCTACCCTTGAAGTTCTAAAGAAGATAATTCTTGATCGCCTCATGTTTTGCTATA